CAGGGGCACCCAGAGCCATGACTGCAGAGATGTCACCCAAGCACTATCAGATCCAGAGGCGTCTCCGAGACGCCGGAGCAGCAAGTGAGCGGAGCAGCCGTGGGAGCGGGGAACGTCGCTGCTCCCCTGGCAGCAAGGCTGCAGAGCACGACCCGCACACGGCGCAGGGATAATTACCCAGATCTGGTTTTGAGAACTGAGGTGCAGTTCCCTCTCTTGGCCGTAAGCTTTTAAGATGTTAATGCTCACAGCCTTCATCCCGGGGGAGGGCTGGATAGGTGCTTTTTTTCTTCCAGGGAATTCCCAAATTGACATTCAGCTACCAGGAGCACAGCATTTCGGGGCATGAAATGCCAGTTGCAGAAACAGCAGCCTCTGCTCGGAGGATACACCCACTGAAATCCTCCCAGGGCTGCTCTCGGGAACCGAGCGACGCAGCCCCACAAAGACTCCAAGCGACTCAAGTTCACGCTGCTGCCAGTTCCAATTCCCAGCGGCACAAGCGCTTTCACGCAGGCTCTTCACAGCCGCCTGCCCGCACGCTGCCAAAGAGAGCCAGCCAAGCCCCGGCCAAGCCCCGACCACCGGCCAAGCCCCGGTGAAGCCCCGACAAAGCCCTGACAAAGCCCCGACCGCCGGCCAAGCCCCTTTATTTGCTCTTCAACACCCAGCCCAGCCCTGCCTCGCTCAGCAGCTCCGTGCTTTCCCCTTCCAGCCTGTCCTCTGGAAACCTGTCAAATGCCTTTGGTGAGCCGAACGCGCTCCTCCTGCCGAATGCCTCTTCCTCAGCCCCACGGGGGTATCTCCACCGAGCTGCAGCTCCTTCCTTCGGCACGGTGGCTGACTTCTGAACCGGTCACCCCCCGAAGCTGGCACTGCCAGGGGTGTCCCCCAGTCCCACCAGCAGCCTGCTGTCCCTGCAAACAGGATCTCAGTTATAGCTTCCAGGTTTGGGTGTTGGCTCTGGAGCTGGATTTTCCATCTTCCTAAATCCAAAAAGAGCTTTTAGTTGAAGCACTTGAAAAAGGATTTGACTATTTCCATCCTCAGGCCCTGCCCTGAGCTCATGAACACATCCCTTCCTCAGTGGACGCGCTGTCTGCTCTCCATGCACAGGGGCCCCTTTGTTCAGGGATGAGACGCCGAGGCAGAGAGCTCCAGGGATGCACCTTCCCCGGCCTGACACAGCGCTCGTTTGTAGGGACACCAACAGCAAAACCCCCCCCCCACACACACAGGAGGGTACCTGCATTGAGCCCATTCCCAGCTGGTTTTTCTTTGGGAGACAGATGTTACAGACATTTCGGTTCAGAGCGTGTGCATGAACTAGGTGACTTGCTCATTACTGCTTTGGAATTCGAGTAAGAGCACTGGTCCGCTCCAAAGAGGAGACATGAAATATGTCCTACTGGATGCAAAGAGGCCTCTGGAAAACACAGGTGTCTGAAGCTTAAAGGGTTCTTAAATACCCTGGAAAACCCCAGGAATCTGCTTGTGAGCACAAGCCTGGTTGTTCGTTTGCATCCAGCTGTGTCTGGTTCTACCCAGACCCCACGCTTGCCAGCTAAGACCCCCTCCTGCATCCCACACGCAGCAGACTAGAGCTGCGCTTTGGTCCAGGCATCTTGGCTTCAAATTATACAGACCACCTCACTACCCCCTGTCCCACCACCGGCTCCTTGCCGTACAGGTAGGCAGAGACCTTTCTCCTGGCCTGTGTTTTCGCAGGGGCTTGCATGCAGCCCCTCATACCTGATTCTGACAGAGAAGACCTCCCATGAGCTGTGGCTTCTAAGCTCAATGAATGCAGCAGTCACGCTGGCTCCCCGTGCCTTTTCCCCAGCAGATTAGGAAGGTGTCCCGCTGGATCTCACTGGGGGTAGCCAGGTACGCCAGGTTTCCCTCTGGCTGTGGATTCCCTGGGCATTACACACCTTGTCTGGCTTCTCTAAGCATGCTCTATAACCATATTCTCCTCCTTGAGATCAGGATCATTAAATCAGGACCATTACTGCCTCTGCTACATTATCAGCTACGAAATTTTACAATACAAGGCCCTAAAATGATACTTTTCAAGGTTATTTACCATGCCTGACTCACCGTCTATGTTTGTACCACTGTTTCCCTTTCTGCTTTGCTATTTATGTGTTGCAGGACAGGCCGGTCGTCTGGGCACCGTTCACACAAACTTTACAAACAGGCAAGCAGGGGGGGCAAGGGTGTCCCAGCAGCCACCCCACCCCACGAGCAAGAAGGGCTGGGACACGGCAGGGTTGCGAGGAGCTGAATCTGTCCCAGCAGCATCTCTGAGCCTGCCTCCCTGTGCCCAAGGCTGGGCAGTCCCCTGCCATTCCCATGCCAGCCTGCTCCCTGAGGAATGCTCGGAGCTGGGCCGGAGAACTGAGCCCAAGCACCCGAGAGCCACGGGCTCGCCATCTCCCGCAGAGGTGAGACCCCGGGGGCCCTCCAGGCTCCACCACCAGCACAGCACCCTGGTGGCAATCGTATATACGGGCAGCAGGCATCGATAGATAGGTATGATGATGACATCTTCATCTTAGGTCTTCTCTTTGGGAAGGGTAGAAGATAAGGCAGCCACAACAGGCTGACGGCTCTCATGACAATCTCAAATCCAGCACACAAGTCACTTTGCTCTTCCCCCCCCCACTCCCCGATCAACGTTACCTGGCCAGACAGAAGGTTACAGGGGCAGAGAGATCAGAACTGATTCACGGCAGCAGAGAGGTGGCATGGTGGCTTTCACCGCTGTCTGAGCGGTTGGACGGTGCTTTGCCCCGCACTACGGCGGAGGCCAGCTTGAGGTGTCCTAGATCAGCTCCTCAGCCAGCGGGAATGCTCCCCAAATAGCTGGCACAGGAGGAGGACCGAGGAGTTTAGCATCCTCCCTGGATGTAAAGGGCAACTGAAAATGAAAGCAGTTAGAAGGAAAGCAGCCGATTACGCAGTTTTGCTGGTTTGTAACTGCACCTTCAGTTTGCTAAGGCAGACTGTAAGAGCTCGAGGAAAATCACAGCTATTCTCCTCCAGAGAGCCTCCGAGAGAGGGAGGAGAGGGCAAGAGAAGTGGAGCACCTTCAGAAATAAACCCTTCCCTCCATTAACGCAAACATCGCAAGGTTCAGGCTTACATCTGGTCTCCCTTCAGTGACCGAAGAACCACAGAGTACCAGGAACCGCCACAGAACTATTGCTGGCTAAAAATAGGCCAAGCTAATTAACAAAACCCTGTTAAAAGGGATGCCCAGCAGCCAGCACAGCCTCTTCTCTCTTTACAGAGGGATGATCAATATTGACTGTCTCAAGAGCAGCAGCAAATCCTCAAGATCACTTCAACGTGAGCCACTGCTCAGCTGGTGAGACAGAGAGAACCTCTCTGTGTCCCTTTACAGCTGCTTAATGCTGTGCGACGCTAGCGAGCTCTGCCTTTCTTAACCACTGTAATAAATACATATCAATCTCTTTCACGTTTAATAAATAGGGATCCTAAAAGCTTTGTCCGGATCTGCTTTTTCCAGTCAGCTAATACAACGCAATACCAGAGCAATGAATTATTGACGAGAAATACAAGCCCGAGCTTTCACAAACACGCGCTACTCCCATAGCAATTTATTACAAATGAATAGCGGGCTGCAATCCCTCCTGCACCACGAGAGCTGGGAATCAGCTGCACTGTCAAGCCACGCCAGCCACAAAAACTTCGAAGCTGCCGTAAAAATATTACAAACCTGAGCCCAAATAAACGGGGGGCGGGAGGGGGGAGCAGGAGGAGGGACGGACCACCGACAGCAAACCAGAAGTCACTTCTGTTTCGAGGGTTTTGTACTCATGAGATGGCATGGTTTTTATAGGAGTAATCGGACTTTTCACATCTCTGCTTGTACCAGCGCTCGGAAGCGCGCTGGGTGTGCGGGGCTGACAGCACGGCACGCGTTCGTTGCTGCACGGAAGCGGCGCTGGAGTTTAAGATAAGCCTTGCTGTGAACAGAACCGATTAGCGCGCAGGTATGAGAATTCATATTGGCACATTTAAAATTACAGCTGCTCAGCAGCAGGCTTCCAATATTTTTTCCAGACGCTTGGCCCAAAATGACCCTCTAGCACTCCTATTGGAGATGAATCCCAAATTGAAAAAACAACATCTTTCCTTCAGCAAAGAAGTTCAAATGCCAACCAGCCAGGAAGATATCTCACATTTCACCAAGGCATTGCTCTGGAAGTAGCACTGGAAGGGGCTGCCCAGGGAAGGGGTCGAGTCCCCATCCCTGGGGGGATTTAAAAGCCAGGCAGATGAGGTGCTCAGGGACAGCGTTTAGTGGCAGGGTTAGGGGAACGGTTGGGCGTGGTGATTTTAAAGGGCTTTTCCAACCTAAATGATTCCACGATTCTATGATTCTGTACTCACAAGCCCACCTAGAGCGACATGGGGATGGTCACAGGCCTGTTTAACGATTACCTGCCAGTCAGTGTGTTCCAAGCTCTTGTTTAACGTGCTCCTTGCTAGAAATCACCTGAGCACACTGATCCTCCAGATAGTTGAAGTGAAGGCAAATGCATCAGTGCCCAGCATTCGGAAGCCGTTACACTCTGCAGCAAGCAGCCAGATCTCCAGCAGCGTGCCAGCCAAGGGCGCTCCTCTCCCAGAGCAGCCAACCCCCCAAACCATAGGTGAGAGCAGACACCACACCAGCAGGGATTTTCCCTCAATAGTTCTTCTGTTTCCAATGTACCTTTAGGAAAGAACTTTCCTCATTAACAGCGAAACGTGCAACCACCACCACAACTGCCGTACCACCTTTTTCAGCTCTGTCATTAAATGCACCCAACCTCCCCCCCTTCCTCTCCACCCAACGCAGAGCAAGTGACTTTCAGAAAAGCAAACCCAGTTCATTTTCACCAAGCAACTTCTCAGCTCGGTCAACCCCCGTGGCGTTAAATTTGGCGTCTCCCTGTCCTCCCTCGCAGCAACAGCGGCAGACTCACCTCCATTTTTGATAGCTCTGATCCCCCGATGGAAATCTTCGAAGCTGATGACTCCAAGCCCGCTCGGATCGAGGTATTTTGTCAGGTCCTTCACCTGCAACCACAAAAGCAGCGTTACCCATGGAGCCCTTTGGGGAGACAGTGCCTTCCATCAGAGAAGCACCTCGTAACAAGTTTTAGCTCCTTACAAGAAAAAGATTTGAGCTAATGGCAGTGAATTTCTTAAATGACATCAAAATGTGGCTGCTCCCCTTGAAGGGAGCATAAGCAATCAGTACAGAGGGGTTAATTAGTACTTGGGTGGTGCTGAAACTGTTGGTTAGTTTTGAAACATAGGTTAGGGCAGAATTGCTTGCAAGTTGGTCCTTCCCTGCCAGGGATTTCTTTATTTTCATGTTTTTTAAAGAGGTCCTCTCTTAATTGGGAGAACTCCATAATAGGCTGCCCAGTAGGAGGGCCCAATTAAGAGGATTCAGTGATAACGAACTGTTCCGCGTTACAAATTTAGGCCACATAATTGAAACGTTTTCACAATTAGACAATGCCCAAGGGGGAAGGAATCACATCAGCTAGCGAGGATGAGGATGGGGGTGCCGGAGCAGGCGCACACACGGAGCAGGGGACACTTGTGAGACCCGGCGAGGAGGATCTGGGCGCTTCAACCAGAACAGGGAGGGCAAAACCACCGTTGCTCCTCACGGTCCAAGCAAAGCCTTCGAGAAGGTGCGTTTGGCTCCTTCAGAAGAAAACCCTTTATACCACTGATGCTTTGCACGCCGAGACAATCAGACATATTTTTCTGCTTTAAGAAAAAAATGCAGACCCTCATTTTAAGAGATCCTGAGGCACCTGCGTGGATTTTAGAGCCACATCCTTCAGCTGAGGAAGAAGCCCAGGAGGCAGCAGGGTGTAAGGGGTGAAAGGAGGGATTGCACAATTAGCTCCCTGGGCAAAAGCACCACTGCCCTGGCCGTGCCAAACACCTCGAGCTCTCCTCCTCCGGAGCCGATGCACCGAAGGAAATCTCAGGGCTGGGTTTGTTCAGCTCTCGTGATTGCTTTGTTCTTGGGTGAAAAGGTGGTGAATCACCAAGCCTCTCCCCTTCCAAGGAAGGAAATCGCTCGTCTAAAAGGAGACTTAACATCTGAGGGTGCAGAGGACAACCCAGCCCGGCCCTGCTGCTCCGAGCCACCCGACTCATTACTCATTATTCGTCAGCAGGGGGGTTTCTTTGCTTGCTTTCTGTTTTGTTTTTCTGAAATCCACGTGGTTTCTAACATGTATGGGGGAGGCAGGAAAAGCCTCTGCCTTGGACATCCCACCTCCCCGCAGCGGCGGCGAACACGCTGCCGGCACGGAGGAAACCACGGGGCTGAGACCATAAAAACCACAGGGCTGTGCCACACCGGGGCTGCCACCAGAAGCCCCCGAGCCCCAGCGCGGCACAGCTGCCGGCTCGCTCCATCGTGAACGGAGAGAACACAACACGAGCATCTTTTCCAGTTTTGTGGGGAACTTTTTCAGTAGATGGATAACAAAACTGATGAACTCGCATGGCACACATCGACTTGGATGAGTCAGGCCTCTTGTATGTCAAACAAAGGTATTTTAGACTAATAAAAACAACCCTCAGGAACGTGTCGGTTCCAGTTAATGCATCTGGCAGCTTCTTTGCGTTCACAAGCTGTAGCTTAATTTGTTATCTGTGCATATAGATAACAGCAACGCAAGCGACATCCAATCAGACTTGATAAGCCTATACGTGATTATCATGACACACTGAAGTACGGTTTCTGTCAAGATCCAGCCGTGATGGCACGTGGGACACGCCGGGCCAGGCTGCTCACGGCGCCGCTGCAGTGCGGGCAGCTTCGCAGCACCAAGGAGGGTTTCAAGCCCCCACTCCAATGCCCCAGCGAGGCAGCTCCCTCCCACGTCAGCGCTTGTGTAAAAGAGAAGCTGGATGAGTATTTTGTTTCTGTGAAGAAATTTCCCCTATGTATTTAAAGTCAGCCATGGGCTGGGGGAAAACGAGTGGAAACGTTTCACGTTCACAACCCTGATGTTACAGACGCAAAAAGCAAAAGCCATGCAACTGATGAAGCTCAAGCCCGTGGTAGCATGTCCGTGCTGACCCAAACCCGCCTGTGTTTGCTGACCAGGCTTAAAAGGAACCCTGACCATTAAATAACCCATGGAGACAACGCTCCCATCGCCAGGCTGAGCGTGAGCAGACACCGAGACTGGGAAGAGCTGACGAGATGCAGAGGACAAGATCATCATCAGCGCCTGCCAGGCCCCCCCAGCCCGTGCGAGATGCTGCCCAGGGAGAGCAGAGGATGCTTCCCGTAGGCCAGCACCCAGCATCTCCATCACCCACAGCACCGGAGCCGGGGTGCTCAGGGGGACGCCCCTACCCAGGCCCGTTACTGCCCACGAGCGCCTGGACCTGCCCTCACTGCCTCTGAGGCTAGAAGTTCCAGAAGCTCCCTACCTGCTCTGTACAGGAACGTCTTCTTGTAACTCTTGTGCACCCATTTTCTGCTATTTCATCAACTGCCTCACCGTTCTACCGCCTCAACATGGGGTAAGGCACAAGTGTGATCCCCCTGGACCATACCCTCCTCCTCGAGCAGTCCCAGCCTGCCCACCCTCCCCTTGCAAGGCAGCTGCTCCAGCCCTTGGCCATTTTAATCACGTTTCCTCTTCTTTCTCCAGCCTCCCCCTCCTTTTTGAAGATGAAGGCCAGAGCTGCACACACTATTCAAGACCGATACCCCCCTCCCAACGCCCACCATCTTGTTCACACCCGGGCGCTGAGCCACCTGCATTGGGAATGGCCAACGACAGCTCCAGCCTCTCGCTCCCAGGTTCTCACTGCCAGTTTTCCCCATTTAATTTTGATTACTAAGCTAAAAAAAAAAAAAACCTTACCTCATTAGGAGAGCTGGAAAAAAACCCCAAGAACTATGGCTCAAGCTGGTTTAGACTAGCAAATCTTAGCAGTTTTGAAGTCATAGATTTGTTGCTTTTGGTGGAAGGCTAATCTGCAAGACCAGAGCAGTCAACACCACACTGCTATTAGCACAAAAGCAAAAGTTAACACCCTACCAAACTGCAACGTTAAGCTAAACACAGGCAGACACAAGCCACGGTCACAGGGAGGTACCTTCTTTTGGCCAGCAAGAAATACTAAAAATAGAGGGTTTACTTAATGTGTTTGTAGCTGATTACAAACTCTGCTCCAAGAGGAAAGAGCAGCTAGAAATGCAGAGCATTAAAGAGTCAAAGAGGATGACGTGGTTTAACGAGCTGATTTAAATCCTGATGGAAAGTGAGAGGCTTAAACTACTGTAAAATGAATCTACCTTAAAGCTGAACGCAGGCACAAACCTGCAGAAGCAGAACCGGTGGTGAGAACTGCTGACGGGGCCCAGCTCGCCCCTGTGCCGGGGACGAGGCACAGCCCAGACCGAAGCTGGAACGAGCTCCTGGCACGAGTCCGTAAGGGATTTCTCCTGGTTAGGGGCATGGAGCTGGAAGCAGACCAGGGAGGAGGAGGGAGATCTCCTGGCATCTCAGCAGCAGAGCAAGAACTACTCATTGCACCACCTCGTCTTCTGTACGGAAGAGCCCTGCAGACGCGCAGGGTGTTTCACCTCCCCAAACCAACAAGACTTGCTGCTGACCAACACCCATCTCCAACAGCCCCCTCCCACCACGCGTGCCAGCACCCTGCCCGACTGCTGTACCGGCTGCTAACAGCTCCCCCGCCCTGCGGAGCGCAGAAAGAGCTTCCTCCTTGCTTTGCCGCAGTGAAATCGGTTCAGTAAGTGACTTCGAGCCTCAGCTAAGCCAACGGTGACAACTCCAAATTCAAATTAACACAAAGGGCTCGGCAGCCACGCGATGGAAGATTTCCAGGGAGGTGAGGGATTCCCCAGCTGTGCGTGGCCCTGTTAAGCTGGCTGGAGGAAAAGGAAAGCTCCAGGTCTTTGCTGTTTACCTTTATGGATGCTCCATGTCTCCACCACATCGCAGACGGATTCGGCAGAACAAAATATCCACCGCGCTCATTTTAAGCGTTGATCTCTGAAGGAAGCAAGGGCTGTGCTGGCCAACACCCTCCCGGTAACCCCTCAGCCTGCCAGCATTTTTTCCTTTGTATTCTGGCAGAGTCTGGGCCTGAATCAGCTTCCAAAAAGAAATTCTTCCGAGGGGTGAAACGAGGGTAGGAGTTTTCCACAGCAGTCAGGCACCCCAAAAGGAAGAGCCGGCAGAGCTCAGCTCCCTTGGTCATGCAGCATCTCACACGGATGATGCTTCCAGCCCAGCCACAGCCAGGGCCACGTCTTGTCCTCCACACCCGTTACGCGATGATACCACAGCGGGAGAAATAAGGCAGCATTTCAGCACTGCTTTACTCTACACAGACGCTGGAAGCAAATCCAAAGGAGACAAAGAGGAGGAATCAATACTGATAGTCCCAATATACCCTGCCCAAACGCTCGAGGCAGGCCAGCAAGCAGGCTGCAGCTCCCACCAAGAACTTGTGCACCTGCAGACTCACACGTGCTGCAATAAGCAAAGACGGATGCTTTTGCCTTGAAGTCGCTCCTTCCCTCCCTGGAAAGGATTCGGCCTGTAGTCTCAGTCTTCCGAGCAATCGGGCCAGTGCCAAGGTAAGGCATGGGAAACTGAGCGAGGGGGAAGATCTGGTCTGCTTAACAGATTAACTTCTACTCTCAGGCCCCGAAAGGGACCAACCGCATGGACTATGTGCACGAAGAACCTGCAGAGCTGTTAGCAAGACACCAAGAGACCTGTCCAGATGAGGAACGACATGCCAGAGACTTACCAAGAGTCTGGTTGAACTGGCCGTCTGGCTCGGCATATTTTGGCCACTTGAGCAATCAACAGGGACAGGCCAGCCCATGCAGGAAAGAAGTCCACAAAACCAGTACACCCAGTCCAGATTCTCACTGGGTGACGCAGCATGCTTATTGCTGGCTGGGACTTGGTTTTAGCCCAAAACATCAGATGATCTATTAACACAAGCACCAGGGAAGTGTTTCATTGGGAAAGTCATTG